GTCATGGTTCACGGGCCCTCAATCCATCAACAAGTGCAACGATTTGCCCAATGCATATTTGGTGCTGGGATCCAATTTGGCCAAAGCAAGTTGCCGCTTGGGGAACGGACGGACCACCGCCTCATCCTATACCAGTACCGGAGGGCCAGATGACTAGGCAATCATCACGCTCGAGGCTACCACGCGTGATGAACGTTCAGCAGATTAGAGCCCGCATGCCGTTCAACAGACCACCAACCCTCAAGAAGGCAATCACAGTTAATTGTCGTCGTATGTTTGCTAATTACTGTATCCTATAAATACTGCAAACTCCGGTGTATGTGTTACCCTATCTGCCATTGCTCTCCGAATTTGTCTCTGATGACGAATCCGCGACGGACATCGAAACGTCAGGCGAATAAAAGTATTGTCCCAGCGATCGAGTCGTCTTCTTCAGAACAAATCATTTCCTACAGATGAGCAATTACATGCCGCTAGCTGAGCAGGCGCAATGCGTAGGAGTGAATGAGCATCTTTCCTATCGGAAACAGCTTAGCAAAGTGTGAGCAATTAGTTCTGACTACAGCCAGCAAGAGGTGATCCGATGGCTCAAAAGGCAGAGCGTGCTTGAAAGGCTTAGCAACCAACTAACCAGTACCCTTATCTTTAATAGGTACGGCTTGGGGTTGGCGCACAACTAGATGATGTCGACCAATGATCCAGAGGCGGTAATTCCAGTCTCCCTAAGATTAACTGGTATTAAAAGGGGCTTTTGACAAATATGGATAAGTCCTTTGACTCAGTCGTGAAAAATCAGTGGCCTCCAACGGATTCGAACACACAACAACAAAGGTAAGGTTTCAGTACAGTCTACGTTTTTACTAATGAAGCTGCGAGCCCCCACCAGGAGCCCCTGTTCAAGTTATCCGCCCATCAAAATCAAACGAATTATTCCACTATGCCAAACTTCCCCAGTAAGTAAATGCGCTTGGTAGGCATTAGGTGGTTTGTGGATCCTTTGTTTAGGAAATCCTGCCTGGGCAGTCAGCCTACTGTATAAAAATTGGCGAATTCCATAGGTTGCAGTAGGCTGGACGGATAACTTGACCCAAAATGAGATAAAACTCATAGCTTCTGGTGGGGCCTCATAACTCGGCTAATTAGAGCGTTGCCTTTACCAAAACCTTCCCCCAAGGGCACCGAGGTTTTTGCGAGTGGGTCAACGGAATTTGTTGATATTGCTTCCGTATTGAAAAGTTGCGCTGATGACGGTGGTAGCTTCGTCAAACAGGCCAATGACGATAAGCAATAGGCACGAAATGGTTGGTTAAACTTTTGGTCAGACCTATTGCTTATTGCAGGGATACCGCCTGCATGTGATCGGGCCCGGCACTTAGATCAAAATATCAACGTTCGCATAGAGTTTTGCACTTGATTCGGATTAATAGACCTCCCGTGCGGCCTTAAGGCTTCTGATTAGTGGGAGAGAGTAACACTTGAAAACAACCAGTAGTACGGATTGGCATTGGCAAAGAAGTCACACAGAACCATCTCAACCACCTCTCATGTGTTTCTTAGTGGATGCACGAATAACTTTGAATGCCACATTCGCAAAGGGTTTTTTGACTTATCGAGGAAGCCACTTGGCGCAGGGTTGTGGAGGTTGCGGCCTTAACGCCTATTTGAGAGTAGAGGCAGCATTATACGAACCACTTCTCGGTGCAATAATACCACTTCCTCTACTCCATGAATATTAATACGAGGTCATGTGGTCCTGAGGAATGTTTTTTTGGATTAAAAGTTCAAGCAGCATGTTCTCCCCCCACCCTCCGTGCCACAAACAATAGCCCAAAGGATCACTGCCGAGTTCATCTGCTCAGATGGTTGTTCAAATGTATTAACCGGCCCATCGTGCTACGTTTCCACAGATCTTGCAAGTTTCGAGCCGCACACCTAAAGTGCAAAGAAGGCCATCAGAACCTTGAGTCTAGCTCATCACTTTCTTTGAAGAATAGGCGGTCGGGTGGACAGATTCAGCAAGCCTTGATGAGCCTCATGACGGCATGAATAGGGGCGAGTAAAGGAGTCCTAGGTTTTTACCGTAAAGAATATGAAGTCGCAATCACTTGAATAATGGGTTGATTAGTCTTATCTTTCGAATTCGTATAGGACCCCATCATTAGAGACGGCGTGAGTTCAATGAGTAAACCCTTCTTCCGTCGATGGGAAGGTGGTGAAAGTTTTCATGCTTGAGCTAGTTTAGTGTCGCCTTACTTACAGTGGTCTCATGGCTTCGTGATGGCATGCCTCCTTGGCTGGGATGTGGAGGGGGGGAGTGGAACAGCGTGACTGTTTATGCAGTTGGTTCCAAATACCGACATCTGCAGCAGCCTCCGCCACCTTGTTGCCGGCTCACGCCAGCATCCGCATGCTCGCGAAGTCAAGCACGTGGCCTTCCGCCAGCGTGTTAGAAGCGA